TCCTCGTCCTTTTTGTCAAAGTTTCTTTGTCAAATTTAAAGGAGCAATAATTGACATCAAGTGTATACAAACTAAAAGAGAAAGTGATGAGCTCCACCCCTTTTGTTTGACCGTAGGAAACCAGTATCCCCCTTGGTGTTACCCCCAGCCCTGCCCTCCTCCACCCTGCCCTCCTCCACCCTGCCCTCCTCCACCCTGTATTCCTGTGTGCTACCCCCAACCACAGCCTGGTTGGGGGTATGGATGTCGCTAGCATCCTGGCCTGTAAGGGTAAGATCCAATTGATTTATTTTATTATTGATAAATGTAAAGTGTGAGTCTCTACTGTACCAAAGGAAATACTTTACTACAGCCCACTGACTAGAAACTGTTGCATTTGAGCCACATTGAAAAAGACAATTTCACTTATGTAATTAACCAAAATGTTTTTTTAATGTACAGCACTGATTTTACTGAATGAAATAACAATGTTTGTCTCTGCTGTCGTCCTCCAGCAGCTCCTGCAGCAGCGACTCGGACCAGATAAAGATGTCTGAGAGAAACAAGCTGCCACCTGCAAACCTTCATCCTGCCTCCTTCTATGATAATAATCAGTTTATGTGTGTTTTTAAATCAAATATTGGGCTAAATGCAAATTAAAAGTCAGGTTTATGAAGTGTTGAGCCAACATATTTTAAAGTGAAAAGAACTAAACACTTGTATCAGCTCCACAGCTCCACTCTCTGACTCTCTCCTGACCAGCAGTGTTGATTGTATTGGAAGTTTACATTATGTGTGACATAGTGTATGCTTTTGATGTATTAGACACTGATCATAATTGTTCTCTTGTGTTTAACAACATAAACCTGTCTTCTGCTTATCATTAAATCTTCATCAATAAAGCCAATAATCTCTGCAATGCCTGACCTCTGTGTTCTCTGTTTCATTTGACCTCACTGGCAATAATTCTTTATTTATTCATTAATTAATCACAAGTATTATGAATCATTTCAGTCATTCATGAAGCAAAAATTATGTATTTATTTTCTCTGTCACTTTAAATCAAACATTTTGGGATAATTCCAGATGTCACCATGGACTTTATAAACTTGTGATAGACATTGTATCTTTTTTATGACATTTCATAGCTTTGACAACCAATCAGTTGCTCAAAAAATAAGTGACATATTAACTGATAATGCAAATAATCATTTAATTGTATTATAATATTTGAACATAGCATCTACATTTAGTCTTGGGAATTTAACACCCTGCAAAAAACTGGAATGAAAAGGACACTACCAAAGCCTCTCCTCTAACTGCTTCAAAAATCAGAGTTCACTGTTGACTTTTGGCTGTAATGTACTGAGTATGGCGCCACTCTGCTTAATAATAATAATAATAATAATAATAATAATAATAATAATAATAATAATAATAATAATTAAACAGCAGTGATTGAGTCTGTTCTCACTTTATGAAAGCTTTTAAATTCACTGTTCTCAGCACTTGAAGTCTTTGCCATTAAAAGAAAATGATCATTCACATTTGGCAGCAGCAGTGTTTTCTTCACAAGGACAAACTGAAATCCTTCGAGTCGGCCTTAAAACAAAAAGAGAAATACTGTTTAATAATTTGGGAAAACTTGTTGTTCTCCTAGATTCAGATCTGATCTTTAACATTAAGGTGATGAAAACATAATTTGTGTTCCACCTTAGAAACAAAGCTAAAGTATAATCATTTATAAATCAAAAAGATGGTGAAAATTAGATTCTTGCCTTTATTTAAAGTCAACTCGATTCCTGTAACATACTTTAAAACTGGCCCAACCAGAAACAAGAGGTGAGAGCACATGAGTCCAGTTTCAGCTGCTCTGCACTGTAACCTGTAACATTTAGAGTTGATTTTAAGGTATTTCTCTTCATATACAAAGCACTCAAAGGGCTATTGGACCAAACTCCCTTGTTCACTACTTGCCTTCAAATCAGGGATGATATCAGGGAAGTCAGCTCGGTAAATATTTTTGAAAAAAGATAAAAACTTATTTCTTCATTTTGTCCTTTAACTACAACTTTCCTGATTCAGGCCTGAAACCCTTTTTGTACTCTGCTGCTGTACTTTATGTATTTAATGTTCTCTATTTGTTTAGCTCTATTTTCACTCTTATTATTCGGTGAGTTTTATTTCTCCACTTTATTTTACATTAATTATTCTATCCCTGTTTTTATGTCCATCTATATCTGTCTTCTATATGTATTCTCATCTTTATCATCAATTAAATGTATTTTCTTTTATTTTCCATCTTACTTTCCATTAAATATGGCATCCTATTGCCATAATTACTAAATGAATTACTATATTACTTTTATGTTAATGTTTATGTATTTTTTATGTGAACATTTGGTGCATGTCATTTTTCATTTCTTGTTTGAAAGGTGTTACACAAATAAAGTTTATTATGATAATAATTATTATTAATTGTGATTTAACACTTTTTACAATAAAGCTGATGGCACACAAACATTTTGCACATTGCAGATTAGCAATGAACTCAACAACGGGAACTTAAGTGAAAAACAATAAATGATTAGGCGTATCCCTGCAGGGTGTTTTATGCAATAAGAAGAAGAAGTGAAGGTTTTTCGTTAGAATTTCTCTAAAAGTTGGACTTTGAATCACTCCTCTGACCTTGTGACTCTGTTCCTGTTGCTCTGCAGATGTTAAATGTGTATGAAGACCACCACAGCACCTCAGGAGAGATGTAAAGAACTGTATGAACACATCATACTGACAGCTTCACTAAATGTATCAGCATTGGACCGGTAGTACACACAGATACTAAAAACACAGATATCACAAATGAAGGACAGATTAAATAGAGTATGGGATATGTATATGCTTGACACAGGATAAAAAAACTCACAACTTGTTCAGGCTTTCAAATCATCCTTGAGGATGTGAACATGAAGTATTGGTCTTCCTCTTCAGAACTTCAACACTGTCGAGCTACTTCTCTTAACTGACTTTAAAAAAACATTTTAATTAAAAGCTTCAAAGCAACAGCCAGAAGTTAGCTTAGCACAAATCTAAAGCTCCATGAATACGTTATGTCCCCTTTGTTTAATCCAAACACAAACTAAAGTCTGACTGTATCCTGTCATCTTTCATTACAGCTCTTTCACCATGTGTCTGTCTTCTTTGGTGTTTGGTGGCTCTGTTGCCAAAAACTATACGGTCAGTATTTATTAAATACACTTCACTCCCAGATATGTTCAGTCTTGCAACAGCAGATATGATAATTATTAAGTCCATGCATTAGATGCATTAAAACTCATTCAATTATTTTCTTGTGTCACAAAACCTTTACAATTAAAATGAAATGATAAAATAATAAAATAACATCATCGTGCAAGTTGGTGTTTGATTTTGCAGCTTTGTAAAGGAGCTCAGTTCACTCCCAGTGTTACTCAACCTGCTAATATGAAAGAGGGGAACAAGGTCCCAAATATTTACGTGATATTTCTGTCTCCTTTCAACATTCAAAGGGTCGTAAACTTTTCCTTTTGCAATATCGTGGTCATTTCAATAGAAAAGGAGCAGGAAGCTCAATAATGTCATGTTTCCATGTTAAAAAGAGGATACAGTATGTGTTGTGAAAATTAGTATATTACTAACACAATGTGCAGTCTCTGTCTGTCTTACACTCACACACACACACACACACACACACACACACACACACACACACACACACACACACACACACACACACACACACACACACACACACACACACACACACACACACACACACACACACACACACACACACACAGGTCACACCATTAGAGATTATACCTATGTGGACCTCAGCAGTAATGCAGGCTCTGAGGCACTTCAAGGCATTCAACACTGTGCTGAGGAGATAAGGTATACTACACACAAACATACACACAGTATATGTACAGTACACACATCCATAAACTCTTTAGTCCTTAAAGAATTTACCTGACAGCTCAGACTTGACTCATAATATAATAGTTACTACTAAGAACAACAATAAGAATAGGAATAAGAACACTTTATTTTTTAACTTTATTTCAAAATAAAGTTAAAAAGTGGTTTACATGGTTAAACCAGAATTCAAATATTTCAGGACTGCAATGAGGCAGACAACATCAGACAATTCAATTGTCCATTAAAATGTAATCAAACACTCAACAATTAAATATAGATAACAATAATGATAATAATAGAACAGATATAAAACTGTGTGATAGCACTGATTGAATGATTATTTCATTTAAAGACATGTTTTAAAACATGATTTTAAAGATGTCCTTACATGGATGGATATATGTCTGAAGATGCTAACATAAAAGGTTCTGCTTTTTGAGCGGGTTACAACACAGAAATTCACACTCATACTCCCTCACTGTGTGCTCACTGCCACAAATGTAGGGAAACATTTAAGTTCAACGTCCATCCACAGGGTGCAAACCAGAGTCAGCAAAGTTAAAGTCCGAGTCATGAACTCGCCAAAGTTCAAATAACTGATATTTCGATAATCAATCAATTTTTCAATCAAAAATGCAAAGCTCTGTTCCCAACCGTTCAAATGTGGAGGATGTTTGTTTAACTGTATGTCTTTGAGTTTTAGAGTGTCGGTTGTATAAAAAAGCTGTTTGAATCATTGATTTCAATGCATCACCTCAGGCTGTGGGACATTACTGCAGGCAGGCATCGTTTGAATTGAAATTAATTTCATCATTTAAGAACATGTACATAACACACCTTAACAATTGACTGAAAACGTTTGACTGTTCTAAAACTGAATGATAATCTGTCCCTGCTGATTGAACTGGGTTTTTTCTACAAACATAAAAAGTAAAAACTGGAGCAAAATCTAAAGTTTAAACATTAAAAAAAAAAAAAAAAAAAAAAAACTGCTGTTGGGAGTTGAGGCTCTGCCCCTGATGACTTCCTATAAAAGCAGAGCCAGTTCACTGCTGAGTGTGTGGATCTGCACTCCAGCACTCAGTAAGTTCACTACAACATATCTGGGTATAATTACCATAAAATATGTGTTTGCATTGATAGATTGGTCATCTTGTATTTCCTTTGTTAACTGTATTGTTTTTAATTCTCCACAATATAGTATTTTAGGTTTTAAATACACATTTCTTTTCTTATTAAGAGGGGATATGTGTGCAATTAGGCTATGTGGTTTCTTTCATTTCAGGGTTTGGATCTGATCTGAAATTCTGCAATGTACGGGTATAACACAGGTAAATAACTTGTTGTAACTGTCTTTTGTTCATTCTCAGTCTTTCTCACTTTGACTAAAACACCCTCTATGTCCTTTTTTGTCAAACTTTATTTATTGAATTTTAAGGAGCAATTATTGACAACAAGTGTGTAGAACTAAAAGAGAAAATGATGAGCTCCACCTCTTTTGTTTGACTGTAGGAAACCAGCATCCCTTTGGCTGGTGTCCTCAGCCAATGCCAGCAGTATGTCCACCAGGCTCCACCCCACCCTACCCTTGCCCTCCTCAGCCCTACGTTCCTGTGTGCTATCCTGCCCCTCAACCAATGCCACCCTGCCCTCCTCAGCCCTCCGCTCCTGTGTGCTATCCTGCCCCTCAACCAATGCCACCCTGCCCTCCTCAGCCCTCCGTTCCTGTGTGCTATCCTGCCCCTCAACCAATGCCACCCTGCCCTCCTCAGCCCTCGGTTCCTGTGTGCTATCCTGCCCCTCAACCAATGCCACCCTGCCCTCCTCAGCCCTCGGTTCCTGTGTGCTATCCTCCATCCCAGCCTTATGCATGGTATGGACCACAGCCTGGCTGGGGGTATGGATGGGGCTATGGACCCAGTGGTGGTCAAGGACCCAGTGGAGGCCAAGGACCCAGTGGTGGTCAAGGACCCAGCGGACCCCAAGGACCCAGTGGTGACCAAGGACCCAGTGGTGGCCCAGGATCCAGTGGTGGTCAAGGACCCAGTGGAGGCCAAGGACCCAGTGGTGGTCAAGGACCCAGTGGAGGCCAAGGACCCAGTGGTGGTCAAGGACCCAGCGGACCCCAAGGACCCAGTGGTGACCAAGGACCCAGTGGTGGCCCAGGATCCAGTGGTGGTGAAGGACCCAGTGGAATCCGAGGACCCAGTGGTTGTGAAGGACCCAGTGGAATCCGAGGACCAAGTGGAGACATATTCAGTGCTGGCTATGGAGGTCAACACAAGCACAAGGCTGGCCACAAGCATGTCAACTGTCACAAGAAGGGGAAGCAGAGTCTTGGGGTAAGATTCAATAAGAAATTGTGCATAAAATGAATTGGCAACTATTTTGATAATTGTTTAAGTAATCTTACACGATTGCAGCTCCACAAATGTAAATGTTTTTCCTTGTAATTATTTGTAATAATTTGCAAATAATAATTTATTTTTTTAATAATTTGAATGTTTGGACTATTAGTTGGTCAAAACAAACATTGTGAAGTTGTTACTTTGGGCTCTGAGTTATTGGCATTTCTCAGTATTTCATGAAATTGTATCAACCAAACAATCAATTGATTCATGGAGAAAGTAATCCTGAATAATGAAGTAGTTAAACATCTTTCATCGCTGATTGACTTGTTCTGTTTGTTTTTTTCTTTTATGTTCATCCTGGCTGTAGTCCTCCAGCAGCGGCTGCAGCAGCGACTCTGACTAGATGAAGACTCCTGGATGGAAACCTTCTTCCTCCTACTTTACACGAGAGAATCACCTTCAAAAGTTCTTCATAACTCATAATAATGTGTATTCTTGGTGCTAAAGATGTGAAATCAAAAATTGAGTTTTTCACTGATCGTATTGATGAAAAACTAATCGAATAAATAAAGTGAAAACAGAGATGTTTGGTACTGGCTTTTTCTAACTTTTGTTCAAGTCACTGCATGTACATTAGCTAATGTTGTCATTGTGGCATATAAGAAACACATATCCAAACAAACAGTTCTTCAACCAAACAAATAGGAAAAAAAGAGTATCATGAGAAAAGATGCTGTTGATGTCTGTTAGAGGCAATAAAACTTTATTGTATTTAAATTCTCCATGCCTGTGAATACTGTTATAAAGTCTATCATTTAACCCTCGAAAGAATGAAATAAATTACTGATGGTAAAAACAAAAGCACATAAATAATACATTGGGAAAATGATGAAACCAGCATCATTCTCTAATGGTAGGATGCTACTGACAAATATGACCCCAAAAATCTGAATCTTAACAACCTGCAACACATGAATCCACACATTTAAATGTTGTTGTTTATTTGTCCAAAGTAGTTTTTTGCTTAAAAAAACCCCTATATTTATAATTTTTTTAAGAATTATGAAGCAGGAACAAACATGTGCAACAAATGATAGACAGGCCTCCCTGGTTACAATACACACACTCCTTTTGGTTACATGAATGCAGACTGTGTATGTGACCTCAGAATAATTCATATTAATAGAGAATAAACCTCACGGTTGTGATTAGCACAACCTTTTCCATATCGTATAAGTGTGGTTGTAATATAATGTAATGGATGTTATGGTATAAATTATATTATTATTATTAATAATGATGGAGGAAAGTTACTTTGAGACATGTGTATGTTAGACACAAGCTCCAGGACAGGAGCAAAAGCCTGTTCACTCTCTGTGAGTAAAAACCAAAGATCAACATTCTCTGTTTGATTTCTTTAGGCTCTAATTATTTATTTTTACAGTCAAACAACAATATGATCACTGAAACTGATTCAGGTCTTTTAGCTTCATGATTGGTCGTCTACAGAAGAATGTTTGTCTGTCACAGTGTTCTAATTTATGCAAAATCCGGAATGAATGTAGGTTCTATTGTAGAATGGATTAGACTCTATAGAATGTAAACTGTCTATATAACTGAGTTCTCCGGAACCCAGAAAGTCATCATTCACTGATTTACCAGTTGAACTGAAACATTTGTGTCTTTAGAGAAAGTCTTCTGTCAGCTACACAATATGAGATCACAATATCTGTGTTTGTTTGAGCCCTCCCCAGTTGCGATTAGGGGGGAGACGGTAGTGATGGTGGAAACCTACAAGTTCCTGGGGGTGACACTCAACAACAAACTGGACTGGACGGATCACACTGAGGCCCTCTACAGGAAAGGACAGAGCAGGCTGTTCTTTCTGAGGAGGCTCAGGTCATTCAATGTGTGCACTCGGCTACTACAGATGTTCTACCAGTCTGTAGTAGCCAGTGCCCTCTTCTTTGCGGTGGTCTGTTAGGGGGGAGGCATCGGCACTGGGGGTGCCCACAAGCTTAGCAAGCTGGTGAGGAAGGCCAGCTCGGTGGTGGGGATGGAGCTGGACAGTGTGGAGGCTGTGACTGAGAAGAGGATGAGAGGGAAGCTGAAAGCCATCATGGACAACCGCTCTCATCCTCTCTACACTGAGCTCAGGCAGTTCAGGAGCATGTTCAGCCACAGACTGACCCAGCCCCGAGTCTCGAAGCGGTTTGGAGGCTCGTTTGTTCCATCTGCCATCAGACTCCACAACGCCACAGCACCCAGTACCTCCAACCCCTGCAGACAAAGACTGGTTTAAAACTCCTACCTTCAACGCACAAGCCTTTTGCACTATTTATATTTAATTTCCACTTGTACAGTTTATTTTTAGTTTTAGTCAAGTTTAATTTTCTGCTCATATCTTGCACTCCATGTCCTACTTGAACAATGCATAGTGTATATACTTTCATTTATAGTTTTATATCTTCTATTATATTTTGTATTTTTTGTAATATTTTTATTTGTGATATTCTTTGTTCTCTGTTTTGCACTACTTTGCCCTATTGCTGCTGTGTCAACCTGAATTTCTCCTAAGGGGGATCAATAAAGGAATATCTTATCTTATCTTATCCTATCTTTTCTTATTTTAGTCAGCAGCGGTCAGATTTTGTCTAAAGCTTCAACTAAAACAACTGTTACATCAGATATACAGTAGTAATTCATGATGTATTTGAATTCATATACAATACACGAAGCATTGATTTAATGGTTGAAGGAGGGCTTTCTATTCAGACTTGTATGTAAATATGACATATTTCCACTCCACCTTAACATATCACTGTTAATAAATGAGGCCAACATCAGATTTCCTAAACTGTGATATGAAAGATATGTATTTCTGTGCTCGTTCTGCACGGGCGTTTAACAGAGAGACGGAAGAGATATGGAGCCATTTTGCTCGAGTCAGGGAAGGAGAGGAAAGTTGAGGACCACAGCAAAAAAGAAGGTGCTCAACCAGAGAGAGCTAAGGAAGAAGCTCTCCTTTCTAGCCTCACCCTTTTTCTCCTTCCTAGTCTCACCCCTCCTCCCTTTCCTACCACCACCCTACTGCCAAATACAGACGCGAGCAGTGTTCAGTTAGTCGCAGTTGGAGTTGCGATCTGCAACTTCACTGCTAGATGCAACTGAATCCTACACACTGGACTTTTAAAACCAACATAAAGTGTCTCAGTAAGATGTTGGGCCATTACATGCCACCGTAAGAGCTTCAATGCAGCGTGGCATTGATTCTTCTATGGAAGTCTCGGCGCCGTCTAACACTGACTGAGTGTATTTTCATGGTCACTATTTACATTTTTTTGTTTTTTATACAAATGACTGATTTGTAAAATTATTTCCGATGAGGTCAGATGAAAAAAAGAATAAGGAGGCCAGACATTGTAGAGATTATTTGCTTTTATGATAAATTTGCTGTTGTTAATGACAAGGGAACAATTAATATCAGTGTCTCATACAGCAAAAGCATACACTATGTCACACATAATGTAAAAGTAATTAAAAAGAGAGTCTAAGACTGGAGCTGTGGAGCTGATACAAATGTTTAGTTCTTTACAATACACTAAATCAGCACTTCATACAAGGTAACATAATCTGTGACAGGTACTTTTAATTTGCTTTCATTAGAATTTAAAGAACAAAACAAAACAAAACAACCTTTAAAACACAGGCTGTAACTGAAGGAAGCCGGATGAAGGTTTCCAGGTGGCAGCTTGTGTCATCTCTCTCTGACATCTCTCCTGCAGGAGCTGCTGGAGGACTACAGCAGAGACAAACTATGTCATTTCATTCATGGTGTGTCAATCAGTCAACAAATTCATAATTTAATGAAATCATCCATAACACTTTAGTTACATTATACATTGATAATGTGATGTATCAATAATGAATTAATCCTTCTTGTGTCTTTGACTGATGAATATATTTCTGGAAACCATGAAAATTATTCTTTAAGAAAACATTTCATTTTCTATTTTAGAATAACTTCTTTTGCTGCTTTTTAAATTTGTGTTTAACATTTTTTTTATTATTTGCATTAAGTGAAATTGGCTCATTAACGTGGCTTAACTTTTACTTTTTGTCAGTGGACTGTGGTACAGTATTTTCTTTGGCACAATAGAGACTCAAGGATTTACACTTGACAGTTATCAATAAATCTTACCCTTATTGGCCAGGATGCTCGAGACACCCATCCAACCAGGCGGCCCATACCATCCACAAGGAGAGGGTAAACGATAGCACACAGGAATACAGGGCTGATGGGGGCAGGGTTGGGGTGGGGTAGTGCCTGATGGACAATGATGGTATCCTCCTGACATTGGCTGAGGATACCAACCAAAGGGATACTGGTTTCCTGCTCAAACAAAAATAGTGGGGCTCATCATTTTCTCTTTGTATACACTTGATGTCAGTTTGTGCTCCTTCAAATTCAAGTTTTTAAAGGTTGGGTTTTAGTGAGAGTGAACAAAAGACAATAAATAATAAAATCCCAAGACTAAATGTAGGTGGCATGTCCTCATATTATGATACAGTTAAATGTCAGAGCTCAGTTTACGGTTATTTTCATTCAATCTCTGTTATTTGTATCCTGCACATTGTTAATATCATTCCTGTACAGTTTAGTTTCTAGTTTCTTTCTATCTTTATCTTTATCTTTATTTATTCATATTCTGAAAAGTACTTAATTTTTTGTGTGATTTTTATGCACAAACGCACCAAGGCAAATTCCTTGTACGTGTAAAAACTTAGTTGGCAATAAACCCGATTCTGATTTCTTGATCCATTAATTAGCGTTCAAAGCTATGAAAGTATAAAAAAAAGAGGCCAGGCATTGCAGAGATTTCTTGCTTTTATGATGATGATTTAATAATAAGCAGAAGACAGGTTAATGTTGTTAATCCAAGGGAACAATTATGTGTCTAATACATCAAAAGCATACATTATGTCACACATGTAGCTGATACAAATGTTCAGTTATTTTCACTTTAGAATGCATCATACAAGGTAATATAGAAGGCTATATGTCTTTTAATTTGCTTTAATTATCCCAATATTTGATTTCTCTCTTTAAAAGAAAGGCTTTAAAATGTAGGTAATCAAATAAACTGATTATTATCATGGAAGGTAGCTGGATGAAGGTTTCCAGGTGGCAACTTGTCTTGTTAGTTGTTACAGGGTGGCTTCTGCAGGAGCTGCTGGACGACTACGGCAGGGGGACAAACCTTTATTATTATTATTTATTAATTTAATAAAATAATGTAATCAGATACAATTATTAAATACCTGTTGAAAAATGTTGTCAGTAACAGAATCTAACATAATTTGGTTACTTTTTGTTACATTTGGACAACCTCAACAGTAAATAGAAAATAAAGAGTAATAAAGGGAAAATAAATATCAGTAGAATTACACAGAACATCACTGGACTGTGAGTTTGTTCCCCTTTTCTGCTTTAAAGGCAAAATAATGGCGACATTTCCACCCAGTGAAAGCGTTTTGTTTACAGCGGTTATGATAATTAATTAATAGAATTATAATAGGAA